AGACCAGCCTGGGCAACTTGGTGAGACCTCATCTCTACAATAAATCAAAAAATTATCCAGGCGTGGTAGCAAACACCTGTAGTTTCAGCTACCTGGAGGGCTGAGGAGGAAGGATTGCTGGAGTCCGGCTAGAGTGACTGAGCATGCTGCTGCACTCCAGCCTGTACAACGGAGTGAGACACCAACTAAAAAAAAAAAAGGCCAAAAAATATTTTTGAAGAAATAATGGCCAAAAACTTCTCAAATTTGATTTTTAAAAAATTGACATGAACCGGGTTCGGTGGCTCAGCCTGTAATCTCAGCACTTTGGGAGGCTGAGGTGAGTGGATTGCCTGAGCCCGCAGGTTCGAGACCCGCCTGGGCAACTTGGCAAGACGTATCTCTACAATAAATCAAAAATATTAGCCGGGCATGGTAGCACGCACCTGTGGTTCCAGCTACTCAGAAGGCTGAGGCAGAAGGATCGCCGGAGCCCAGCAGTCGAGGCTGCCCTGGCCAGGCGCGGCCACTGCACTCCAGTCTGGGCGACGGAGTGAGACTCCCACTCAAAAGAAAAAAAAATTGACATGTTTAAAAAGGTCAGCAAACAAAGATAAAGCGTTTCACACATACACATCATAATCAAAATATTGAAAGATACAGACAAACAGAAAACCTTGAAAACAGCAAGAAAAAAAATGGCTCATCCTGTACAAGTGAACCACAGCATGGTTTATTTTTCCTCAGAAATAATAGAGACCAGAATCCAGTGGGCAGACATGTTTAAAGTGCTGAAAGAAAAAGCTTGTCAACCACGATTTATATATTTGACAATCCTTCAAAGGCAAAAAAAAAAAAAAAAGATTTCCAGAAACACAGACTGAGATAATTCATTGCAAGCAGACATTTCATGTAAGAAATACTAGCCAGGGGTAGTGATGTGCACTTGTAGTCCCAGCTACTCGGGAGCCTGAGGCAGGAGGATCGCTAAGGCCAGGAGGTCGAGACCAGCCTGGGCAATACAACAAGACCACCTCTATTAACAACAACAAAAAAGAAATACTAAAGGAAGTTTTTTTGTTTGTTTGTTTTTTGAGTTGGAGTCTCACTCTTGTCCAGGCTGAAGGCAGTGGCATGCTCACGGCCACCGCAGCCTCGACCTGAAGGAAGTTCTAGAAGTTGTCAGGAAGTGACATCAGGCAACAAGTCAAATCTGTAGGAAGAAAAGAAGAGCTCTAAAAATTGTACGTGAGTAAATTTTTTTAAAATTATTTCTCATTTCTTCTCTACTCTTTTAAAAACTATTACACATAGATATAACATATGGCAATAAAAGTGCAAAGGAATGTGGAATAAAAAGAAAAGTTCTATATTTTACCAGAATTAAGTTACTCATATTCTGGAGTAGATTATGATAAATTAAAAAGCAAATTCTAATCACTAGAGCAAATTTTTTTAAAAGTAACAAATATAATAAAAGCTGGGCGTGGTGGCTCACACCTGTAATCCCAGCACTTTGAGAGGCGGAGGCCAGAAGATTGCCTGAGCCCATAGTTGGAGACCAGCCTGGGCAACATGGCAAAACCTCGTCTCTACAATAAGTAAGAAAATTAGCCAGGTGTGGTGGTGTGTGCCTGTAGTTCCAGCTACTTGAAGGCTGAAACGGAAAGATCACCTGAGCCCAGCAGGTCGAGACTTTGGTGACCGTGGTGAGCATGCCACTGCACTCCAGCCTGGGTGGCAGAGTGAGACTCCAACTCAAAAAGAAAAAGTATAATAAAAAGCTAAAAGAGGAATTAAAATAGTAAATTAAAAAATATGTAACAGTAAAGGAGGGACAACGGTACAAAAAAATACAAAGCAAATAGAAAATAAATAGCAAAACCCAGCCATATTTATAATCCTATTAAAATGGGAATGGATTAAACACTTCATTCAAAGCACCAAAACTTAGGGACTGAATACAAAACATGTTTTTGAAGACCTAACTATGGCCAGGCATAGTGACTCATGCCTATAATCCCAGCACTTTGGGAGGCTGAGGCAAGAGAAATGCCTGAGCCCAGGGGTTTGAGACCAGCCTGGCCCAAATAGGCGAGACTTCATCTCTGCAATGAATCAAAAACTTAGCTGGAAATGGTGACACATGCCTGTGGTCCAGCTACTTGGAAGACTGAGGTGGAAGGATCACCTAAACCCAGCAGGTCAAGGCTGTGATAGCTGTGAGCATGCCACTGCACTCCAGCCTGGGCAACAGAGTGAGACTACAACTTAAAAAACAAACAAACAAAAAGACCTAACTATGATGTCTACAAGAGACACAGTTTAGATTCAAGGTACACATAAATAAAGAAACAAAACAGTGATAAACCATGCAAACAGTAGCCATAAGAAAACTAAAGTGGCCTGTATTAATATTAGAA